TGCCATCTTTGGTGAAACAGTTGTTAAATCTTTTGCTCATTTTTAAAGTTGGCTTATTTTCTTACTGTCGTGTTTTAAATGTCTTTTCTATGTTCTGGGGACGAGTCCTTGTCCAGTGCCGTGCTTCGCAGATGTTCTCTCACAGTCTGAGTTTTTATGAAGCTCACTTTATTGTTTTTAACTTTCATGGATTGTGCTTTTGGTGTTATATCTAAGAATGCTTTCCTCAATCAAGTTCATGAAGATTTTCTCATATTTTTTCCTAAAAGATTTGTGGCTTTAGTTTTACTTTAATATTTAAGATCCATTTTGAATTGAATTTCTGTAAGGTATGAGGTATAGGTCGAGTTTCACTTCTTTTGCATATAGAGATCCATTAAAAAAAAAAAAAAACAACTTCTTGGTCACACCACACACCATGTGGGATCTTTCTTAGTTCCTGATCTAGGATCAAACCCACACCTTCTGCAGTAGAAGCGCAGTCTTGACCACTGGACCAGCAAGGAAGTCCTGATTATTAAAGTTCCCTTTGTTGAAAAGGATATCCTTTCCCCATTGAGTTGCTTTTGCATCTTTGTTTTCAAATCAGTTGACTGTATTTATATGGGTTTATTTCTGGACTGCCATCTGTTCCATTGATCTGTGTGTCTCATTTACCAATACCACACTGCCTTGAATACTGTACTTTTATGTAGTGAGTCTTAAAGCAGAGTGGTGTAAGTTATCCAGCTTCAACCTGACTGCTGTGGCCTCATTTGCCTTTATATGCCATCCATTTGTCTGTGTCAGTATGAACTCATAGATTATTATTATTTCATGATTTATGGATTATTATTTTATTAAAATCATTTATTTTGCTCAAATTATAGCAGATTTGACCCATGGGAGATAGCTTCCATGATTCTTTGAGCACCCTGCTAGCTCTTGGGATTCCCCGGTGACTCAGCAGTAAGGAATTCTGCAGTGCAGGAGGTGCGGGAGACACAGGTTGGATCCCTGGGTGGGGCAGATCCGCTGAGGAGGAAATGGCAGTCCACTCCATTTTTCTTGCCAGGAAAATCCCTTGGACAGAGGAGCCTGGTGGGCTAAGGTCCATGGGGGTGCAAAGAGCCGGGCACTGAAGTGACTGACTGCGCATGCTCCCCTCCTGGCGTGACAGAGTATCCCGGGTTCTCCTGTACTTTTCCTGTCCTCGCCCTCCCAGGTCTGGAGCCAGCTGTTCTCCCATGGAGATCTAGTTTCCTTTGTTGTAAAATGATATTTAGAGACCAAGGTCTGACAGCTAAATGTGCTCATTTTCTTACTAGATTGTCATTGTGTCTAGAGTCTTGAAGTGGACAAACCGGGATCAGTAATGTATTTATGTGTGTGCATATATGTACATCTGTGTACACTAAAAACGGTTGGTTCTTAACAGTAAGCACCTGTTTCTGCAAAGCACCTCACAGTTCTTTCTCACCTCCCCTTCTGTATCTGTAACGCTTTCACTCAGCAGGATTCTTCTGAGATTTGTTCATACCGTGTGCCTGAATGGTTCATTCCTTTTTATTGCTGAGGTTTATTCCATTAAATGGATGTATTGCCATTTTAGGATGTTTGCTGGGCTTTCCCCCAAAGTGATAGTACCCTTTCACACTTCTGCCAGCAGCTTAGGAGAGCTCTGGTTTCTCTACATTATGGCCCAGCTGTGGGCATTTCCAGTCTTTTTAACTTTATACTCTAAGTAGGTATGTTGTGGCGTCTCATGTGGCTTTGCCTTTCTCTAATGACTGTTGGGTTTTAATGCCTTTCCATGTGTTTGCCATCCATTTCTTTGGTATTTATTCAAATCTTTTGCCCATTTCTTGACAGTTAAGGTTTTTCTTATTGTTCAGTCTTGAGAGTTCTTTATCTATTCTGGATACAAGGCTCTATCAGATAATGTGGCTTATAATTATTTTTTCTTATTCTTTGGCTTGGCTTTTATCCCTTTAGTAGTATTTGAAAATAAGTTGTTACCTTTGATGAGTCCAATTTATAAAGTTTTTTCTTTTATGGATTGTGCTTTTGGATGTTTATCTAATAATATCTCTCTGAACCTAAAATCAAAAATTTTTTCTCAAGTTTTATAAGTTTTATAATTGGGGGGTTTATATTTAGTGTTGAATAAATTTTTGTATATGGGGTAAGACTAGATCTATTGATTTTTCTAAGTATGGATATCCATTTGTTCAGACATCATTTGTTTAAAATATGATTTTTCTCCATTGAATTTTACCTTTGCACCTTTGTGGAAAATCTGTTGATCCTATATGAGGGGTTCTGTTTTTGGATTCCATTCTGTTTCATTTCTTTCTCTATGTGCCAATACCACAGTCTTGATTACGGAATCTTCATAATTAGTTCAGTTCAGACAGTATATGTTTTCCAGCTTTGCTTTTTTTCAAAGTAGTTATGGCTATTTTAGGTTCTTTACATTCCTGCAGGAGTTTTAGAATGTTTGTCAATTCCTATAAAAAAGTATACTGGGGTTTTGATGGGATTGTGTTGAATCTATAGAGCACTTTGGGGAGAGTGCTGTCTTAATAATATTTGAGTCTCTCGATCCATATGCATGATATATCTCTTTATTCAGTTAGATCTTTTAGTTTCTCAAACATTTTGCAATTTTCACTGTATGTTTTCACTCTGACATGTTAGTCACCCAGTCGTGTCCAGCTCTTTGCAGCCCCCTAGACTGTAGCCCATCAGGCTCTTTCGTCCACGGATTTCTCCAGGCAAGAAGACTGGAGTAGGTTGCCATTCCCTTCTCCAGGGAATCTTCCCCACCCAGAAGTCAAACCAGAGTCTCCTGCATTGCAGGCAGATTCCTTACCATCTGAGTCACAAGGGAAGTCCACAGTGAAAGTGAAGTTGCTCAGTCGTGCCCGACTCTTGCAACCCCATGGACTGTAACCTGCCAGGCTCCTCTGTCTATGGGATTTTCCAGGCAACAATACTAGAGTGGGTTGCCATTTCCTTCTCCAGGAGATCTTCCCGATCCAGGGGTTGAACCCTGGTCTTCCGCACTGCAGGCAGACTATTTTTTTGCAGGCAGACTCTTTGCCACCTGAGCCACCAGGGAAGCCCATGTCTGTCACATCTATCAACTAAATAGGGGTATTCTTTCATTTTGATTTTTGATTACACACTTACATAGAAAAATTGAATTGAAACAACTTTTTACTACTGATCTTGTTTCCTGCAACTTTGCTGAAACTCATTCATTCTAATAACTTTTTGTAGGTACAGTAGATTTTCTACACAGGTGATCATGTCATCTATGAATAAAATCAGTTTTAATTCTACTTTCTCAATGTGCATTCTTTTATTTCTGTTTCGACTTTGGATTTTTATTTGAAATACCGAAAGCCTGTATTCCATGTCTGGTCCAGCCCCACACAGGTATTTGTTGACTTTATTTTTATTTTTAGATTTTGTGTGGCCTTAACATTGTTCTAAAAGTCAGAACCATATTAAAAAACCATATAAAAAAGTGACTTAAAAGCAGTCACTCCCATCTTTTATCGTACTCCTGTGTCCCTGTTCATTACACCCTGTTCCTACCCAGCAGGTAAATTCCACCTTTAATCTTGCCTTGTTCATAGTCTTCCCACCATTCCATCAGTTTTCTTTAAAGTAGCTGCCCTACAGATTTTAACAGAAATTCATTAAAATCTAGAATACATTGTTATACAAAATTAAATAAAAGATCTGGCAATTTCATGAAAGCAGGAATTCTTAAACAAGACTATAAATTTTGTAAAAGTATGTTTCTATTGGTGTGTGTGTTTAAGTTGAATTTTTTTCTGGAAGTAGGTTGCAAAACTTTCATCATGTTTCAGAGGAATTTATTTAAAGAGAAAAAGGTCAAGTAAGAGAATGTCTTTAGAATGAATGAGTTTGGATCTAAATCAATCTAAAGACTGATATTAGTGAGCCTCTTGTCTCTTGAGTCTTTTGTACCTTTTGAAGATAACATCTTTTAATTGTCTGTATTGTAATTTTTAACTGTTGTTTGTGGTCATTCCAGTTGTACATGTCATTTGTATACCTTTTGATCTACTGTTTTTTATCACAGATTTTTAAGAATTTGAATGCACTTCACACATTTCCTTTCAGTTTAAATCTTTTTAAATGGTTGGTTATTCTTTCTAAAGGGCTTCCCTGGTGGCTCAGTTGGTAAAGAATCTGCCTGCAGTGCTGGAGACATGGCTTTGATCCCTGGGTTGGGAAGATCCCCTTTAGGAGAGCGTGGCAACCCACTCCAGTATTCTTGCCTGAAGAATCCCCATGGACAGAAGAGCCTGGCAGGCTACAGTCCATGGGGTCTCAAAGAGTCCGACACGACTGAGCAACTAAACACATACATAACGTTCTTTCTTAAAGTTGTTAAAAGAATTTTTGAATTCCTGCTGTCAAATCATTAAAATACCCAGTATGCTCATGGCAGTGAAGGGTAAGGTTATGCAAAGCACACAAGAAAAATTCATAGTTGAAAAGAATCCGTGAGCAACTTGCCGCATGCAGCTTCCCATGCCGTATCAGCTCCCACTCCGTGTGTCCCTGTCTGGGCGCAGAGCGTCTTAGTCCGTGGTGACTAAACCCTCAGGCGCTGCAGCTGTCCTGGCTGAGCGCGAGCTCAGTCCAGGTCTGCCTCCCAGCAGCTGAGTGACCTGTTTGTTTCCTCACCTAGCAAATGAGAACAGTAGTCACACCTACCTCATGTGTGCCTGTTTGTTACATAAGTAAAAGTTCAGGTAGAAGAAGACTTGGAAACAGAAATGTTTCAGCAAACTTCAGGACTCCCCCCGCACCTGCCCATGTTAAAGGCACAGGTTCCATTGGGGCAGATTTCAGTAGAGGCTGGGTGATGTCATCATCTTCTGAGGTTTAAAACAGACCAGAATGGTGGTGTTAGTTGTCACTAGGTATGTCTGCTAAAATTTTAATAAGAATTTTCTTTTTTTATTTCTCCCAAGCCAAACTAGCAAGACGAAGTCAAGAACGAGACAATCTTGGAATGCTGGTCTGGTCACCTAATCAAAATCTATCAGAAGCAAAATGTAAGTTTTAAAGTACTTTTATCTTCCATCTTTCTTATTTACTGCAAACTTTTAGAGTGACCTTTGTAGCTGAAAGTCTCTAGATATATTACATTTATTTTACATTTTTAAAGTAAGTAATTTGAAGAATCTGAAAATATGTCCTTTGTTGTGTCTTGTCATAATAATTTAAAGATTCTTAAAATATAGTTTCATAATTTACTTTTTATTTAAAATGAGGAAGTAGCTAATATTCTGAAGTAACTAGGAGGAAAGGTTCAGAGTGGAAAGAAAATGATAATTCTGTGTATAACTCCTTTAGCTGGGAATTTATAGATCTATAAAGATGAAGAGTTAAACAGATTCCTTAGTGGAAGGATTACAGAGGGCACACGCGTTTACTGAAAACAGATTTCATGCTGTACGATTCGGCCTGGCCAGAGGCAGAACTTCGAGTTGCCTCTTTTTTGTTTACGTTTTGTGAACATGAATATTCTGAGCTACTTTGGGGTTTCTTTTAAGGGGTGGGGATCCTAGAGTGAGATTAATTGTATTTCCCAAGTTTGCCTTTTCACTTTTTCTGTCCCCTCTGCTCAGATGATCCAGGCAAGAATAATTTTATATTTGATATATTGCCATGAGTCTTTGCTATTTTTTTTCTTTTTTTTTTCCATTTATTTTTATTAGTTGGAGGCTAATTACTTTACATCATTGCAGTGATTTTTGTCATACATTGAAATGAATTAGCCATGGATTTACATGTATTCCCCATCCCGGAGTCTTTGCTATTTTTAAAGGTTTTTTTTTTTGTCATAGCTTTAAAGACAGAAAAAACTAAACTCCCCTCTTTGAGAATTAGTCAGTGTGTGTGGGGTTGTCCATGGATGGAATTTATGGGGATTTGTGAACTCAGAAATCACATGTCAATTTTTCTTTTTGGTTTATGTATGTTTTCCTGATGAAAACTGAATTTTTCAAGGGCTCTTTGAAAAAAATAGAGTAAGAATCAATGCTCTAAAATGTGTTAGGGCTTAGAAAGCATCAGTGGTAAATGTTGGTCAGGAAACTTGAATTGTGAATAAAGGCTGTACTCTCAGGCTTTGATCAGAATTTCCCAGATTGTGTTTTACAGTCAGTGTCAACAGGTTTCCTCTGTCAGATAAGAGTTAGAGGTGATACATATTGAATGTACACCTCTTGTACAGGTAACACACATGTTTGCACATTTAACATGCAGAGAGCTCATATGGTAAAGAAACGTTTAATTTTCACCAAAAAGGGTCTTTTTTAAAAATACAGTGGAACATAGGAAATTCAACTACTCTTAGTAATGCTAAATTTAGCTAGAATAAAGTAATCTGAAATCTAATCTGATTTTTAGAGTATATTAATTTTGCCTCCATCAGGCTACTGCTTGATGAGTTTATCATGGAGAAAGGAAGAACAGAAGGAAGTGTATTGGCATTTCCGATGCCCCTACTGTGCTGCGGAGGGAAGTCCTCTTTAGTATTTCCTGTTGGCTTTTTCCCTTTGATCATTTGCTCAAACATGTTGTTGCGTCTAACAGAGCTGAAAATCTGTGTCCATGTAATTTTTAAGCTTTGTTTTCTGATCACTGCTGAATAAGTTTGCTTCCCTGTGGGTCTCAGGTGTTCAGTTTTCCTGCCACCTCTGCTGTCCCCATCCAAGCTAAATCTGCCTGGTGGCCTCCAGGGTTTCCTGATGCTTCAGTTTTGGGGTCTTTTTTCATCTCTGTTGCACAGCTGGGTATATTCTATTTAATCACAGTGCCCCTCTTAAATTATGATTTCCAGAACTAAACATTAAAAATGTTGAGCATTTGTTGAGCATTGGACTAAAATGCTTTCCATATTTTTGTATCAGTCAGTCTTTTTTTTTTTTTTTTTCATTTATTTTTATTAGTTGGAGGCTAATTACTTTACAACATTGCAGTGGTTTTTGTCATACATTGAAATGAATTAGCCATGGATTTACATGTATTCCTCATCCCGATCCCCCCTCCCACCTCCCTCTCCACCCGATTCCTCTGGGTCTTCCCAGTGCACCAGGCCCGAGCATTTGTCTCATGCATCCAGCCTGGGCTGGTGATCTGTTTCACCATAGATAATATACATGTTTCGATGCTGTTCTCTTGAAACATCCCACCCTCGCCTTCTCCCACAGAGTCCAAAAGTCTGTTCTGTACATCTGTGTCTCTTTTTCTGTTTTGCATATAGGGTTATCGTTACCATCTACCAGTCAGGCTTTACTGTAATGGAAGAGGAGGTTTTTGTCCCCATTTTACAGGTGGCATTCCATGATTGGAAGAGGTTGTGAACACAGAGCAGCAGTGGTGGAGCTGGGGTGTCTGTGTCGATCTTCACCCTGGCTTGTGCTCCCAGCGTGTCCCTCAGGTCACGAGTGTCAGGTCTCAGCCCCCTCTTCATTTCAGCTGCTGCCTGCTGTTATTACAGTGAAGATTGTATTAGTGCCTCTTGCTGTTACTGTATTACCTTTGAAAATCCTGGGAGTCAGAATTTAATTTTAATATTAGCTTGTTTTTCCTAGACCTAGACGTAAAGAACAGTATATGAACAGTAATGGATTTTTTAAACAATGGTATTGCCTAAAATAAATTTGCAGCTTTAATGTAAGTCCTGATACTGGTGATTAAAGCTTTAACTCTTAAACTAATCTAAAAGTAACATTTATATATTGTTGAAAGTTCAGAAGACACAGAGAAGTATGAAGAAGAAACAGTTCACCTCACCTGTTATTTCATTACCCGGAGATGACTGTTGTTAAACATTTTAGGATGTTTTCCCAGTCCCTTCTTTCCCTCTGTGCATGTTTTTGTAAGTGAGGTGATGGAATTTCATTGTGTATGAATATTATCTTCCTGAACAATGACCTAGGCATTTGTCACCTTGTAGGACCCCTGGTGAACATTTAAAATAATGCTGAATATTGTATCATGTGAAAGTATCGGTGTATTTAACCATTCTCTTGGAAAATTTAGATTGTTTCTAATTTGTTGCTATTGTTAAAGGAGGTGATGGTGAAAAACTGAATCATAGAGCTTTGTTCTCTTTTGTTGCCGTTGTTGTGTTTTTAGTATTTGTAAGATACATGCTTAGTGGAATTGTGGATCCATGAGAGTTTGCTTAACTGCCCAAGTGTGAGGATGTGAATGTAATCTGTGGTGTCAGGTTCCACTTGTGGAGCTTTGGGAATCACACTCTGAATAGTTGTCTAATTGTAACTACAATGTAGCTATAGTGTCAATGGGGACAAGTATACATAATTTATTCTCTTTACCATCTGTCATTTCCCCCTCAGCTTCTCTCCCTCCAAATATAGACAAAAAAAGAAGTCTCTTTTTGTCTTTCTCATTTATTTTGAAAGAAAGTGTAAGTCTTGATTGTCCAATAGTTGATTCTGATTTTATGTAGAAACAGGAGATTGGGGACATCTACTAGAAGTGTAGAGATGTCCCCATGTGTAAGGATGTCTGTAGCTCACTGGCTTTCTCTGTGTTGGTTTCTTTTTTCTTAAGTAACCGCTTAGAGTTCTTCCTCTTAGGGTTACTGCAAGTTTACAGAATTATTTTGTGGTTATAAAAATAAGTGCTGTTGTAGAAATTTTGAACAATATAGAATGTATAATGTAGACAATTAAAGCCCTCTTATAATTACTATTTACTATATATATATTTTTTTTTTCCCTAGTATGTTTATACATATTAATAAGTATGATTTTTAAATCACATATATGAGCTGTTTAGCAGTTTGCTCTTAACGATATTATCTGGGACTTTGTTCTATTTGAATATATTTACAATTATGTAGTTTTAAACAAGTATGGGTGCACCATAATTTAGTCTTTTCTTTTTATATTTTTATTCTTATGTTTTAAAAAGCACATTTCCTCCAAAAGTATCCCAATTAGGGTTATATTGAATTTGTGTTTATTCAGTGAGAATTGATTTCTTTCACATTTTTATTGAGCAGCCTTGTGTGCCTGGTAGGTACCAGGAGGGAGGGATTCAGGAAGTTTATATTCTGATGCACAAAGAGGGGGCCAATGAAATGTAAACAGATAATTTATATGTATTTCCTTTAGTCCAACTGCTTCCTTTTAGTTTCGAAAACCTGGGATCTGGAGAAGTTAGGTCAAATGTTTAGGGTGCCTCAGCTAGTTAGTAGCCAAGTTTGGTTTAGATTTTTGGTTTGAGCTCTTATCACACAGATCTCCCTTGGTGTGCTGTCTGATTTAATAAACCAAAATGCTTAAAGTATTACTGATATTACACAGTTGCTCTTGGGTGTGTTTAAGTAAAACTTCCTTAAGGAAGGCTGCAACCTTTGGAGTATGCCGAGAAAATGTGCAGAGACACATTTCATGGAGAGGAAATGCAAATAAGCCCAAGTAGCATAGATTAGAACAATGGCATTTGGGTATTATTATAAACATATTGTAGTGAATTACATGATTAAATGATGACATATTTAGGGGACAAAGGCACAAATGATGGTTCGGTTCTCTAATAGAATCTGGAGGTAGGACAGTGAGAGAAGCTGGAAATCATCACCTCTCCAAAGACAGCCATGCTGGAAGGTTGGAGTTTGCTGGCCAAACTCTAAAGAAAAAAATTAACCCTTTCAACAGGGTAAACATATAGAACTTAAAATCGTGTCAAATTATGGATTTTAAAGTAAGTTTTAGCTTTTAGGGGGTGAGAACCCTCTTTGGACCTGCATATAAAAAGTTATTTCTTCATTAAATCATATGAGTTCAGTACACATTTTCAAAATTATGAGTGAGTTTCACAGGTATGTAGTAAATGCCTAAACTTTCATAGAAATATGTAGTAAATGTTGGGGTCTCTATTCACAACTTTCTAGATGACTGTAAATTGAAGTCAGAAGACCTGACAGTTGCCACTAGGCACCCTGAGGTCTGAGCCCACCTCTGTCCTCTGGACGCAGCTAGAGCCCGCGCCCCTTGTCCACATCCCTCTT